TTCAAAGTCTCATACTGGCAATTTTTTGGCTTCAGAAATTTCGAATATTATTAAACAAATTGGACCTAAAAGATTCGTGGCAGTTGTTACAGATTCAGCCTCTAATTGCAAACTTGCAAGAGAAAAAATTCAAAAACAATACCTGCATATCTTGAATATTCGTTGCATCGTCCATGCCATTAATTTGATAGCTGTAGATCTAACTAAAATTGTAGAAATAAATGCATTTATTAATCGTTTGGAAAATTAATAAAATTTTTTACTAAATCGCTTCAAAAGTTGGCATTATTGCGACAAGGGTTAACTAATATGAAAATCAAGTCTGAAGATCTAGAAACATGATGCCCAACTCGTTGGGGGTCTTTATATAATACTACAAATTCTATATTAGTTGCACGTTCGGTATTTGACTGGGTATGCAAAATTTTTTTTCCTAAATAGTTATGTAATACTAATTAATATGTTATATCGGTATGGATAGACATTGCTCGAACATCCCAGGTCATTTACAGATATAGAAATTTTTAATTTGTTACACAATGATGGCTTTTTTATCACCTGCCGACAAGTTCTTTCAATCTGTAAACCAATAAAAATTTGTATAAATGCTTTAGAGGGTGGCCCTGCGTCTTTAGCAAACTGTTTTATATACATGATTAAGTTGGCAATTGCCATCTATCATATTCCCGATTCAATTCTATTTAAACCTGTTATGATTCAACTGTTCAACCGATGTTACGTAGAATTTCAACACCCGTGTTATCTATTATGTTACTACCTTCATCCATTCTATCGTGGTATAAAATAATTTTTTTGATATATTTAGCTAATTATTACATTACCAAATTTGATCAGTTTTTTTTAATTAGGAAAAGGGCTTAAGAATGAGGCATTCCGTAATGCTGCTATAACTGCTTCAACCATATGGAAAAGTTATTCGCATACTGAGCAAGAATGCAAAGAACTAATATCCCAGTTTCGTTATTATGATGCTAGGAAAAAAACTATTTGATCTATCTTATGTTCATGGGCTTGATACCTCTATGTTATGGTGGAGATCTATAAAAAGCAAACCACACCATCTTTCTGAACTTGCGCAAAAACTCTTTAGCATTACACCATCTCAGGTAGTATTACAAATTAACAAAATTTTTTCAATCACTTGAGAACTCGATTTATAAAAGATCAGCTACTATCTAAACGTTTGATTTAGTTGATATATTAACTAATCAATTAATCGATTAGTTGACGAATCGATTAATTGATTGTCTACTAATCAATTAGTCAATTAGTTTTTTTTTTTTTGGTATTAAGGTGACCTCTTTGGTCTGGGGAACTTTTTATTAGAATATAGATGAAGTTTTATATGTAATTATAACAATGGTACATCAAGCCACACGTGCACCTTTTGAGTGCCTATTTAAGTAGTCCGCCCAAAGGTTTTACACTATCTGCCGTACCTGCACCCCAACTAGG